CGATGGTGATGACGATGGTGATGACGATGGTGATGACGATGGTGATGACGATGGTGATGACGATGGTGATGACGATGGTGATGACGATGGTGATGGTGATGGTGATGATGATGGTTGCCGGTCGTCGCAGCTGATGAAACAGATGGGTTTTCAAGTTTGATTGACCAATAAATACGAAGGAATTCCTTTCCTTTTTTGTGAATACAAAGGAATTCCTTAATTGGCCTCCTGTCCCAAGGGATACTACTTGCTTAAGTAAGAAAAAATGATTGACTGATTGATTGGTTGGTTGGTTGGTTGGTTGGTTAGTTGGTTAATTGATTGATCGGGTCGGCGTCCACTGGCCGATTTGGAGCAGTGCTTGATCGATCGACGGAAGACTGATTGCTATTACTAACTTACTCAAGACAGATCAACAGGTGCCCACGCGGCTGAAGCAGGTGACAATTTCGCGCCGTTTGATGCGATTAGGAGAAGGAGGTGGTTGACCCATTGCAAGAGGAAATGCAGAGCTAAGTCAACTGATTGATTGATTGATTGATTGGATTGATTGATTGATCGACTGATTGATTGATTGATTGATCGACTGATTGATTGATTGATTGACTGACTGATTGGTTGGTTGGTCGGTTGATCGGGTGGGCGTGCACTGGCCGAGATTGGAGCAATGGTTGACCGATTGACGGAGGACTGATTGCTACTAACTCATACAAGACAGATCAACGGGTGACCATTCGCGCCGTTTGATGTGATTGGGAGAAGGAGGTGGTTTACCTGATTGCGAGAGGAAATGCAAAGCTGCGTCAATTTTTGATTGATTGATTGATTGATTGCCTGAACTATAACGGGTGATTGATGGATTGATTGATTGATTGACTGATTGATCGACTGATTGATCGACTGATTGATTGACTGATTAACTGGTGGTACGTGAACTATCCCGCGGGTGCTGTTCACACTGATCGACTGGAACAAGGGAGGGCAATTGGGTGATTGAATCAGTTAACCAGTACTCAGTCACGACAGGTGGTGTTATTTCACTTAAACGCCCCCACTATAATCAAAATCAATCCCTTGGGCCAGCAACGGCATAGAGCCACCACCCGCATGGGCCAGCAACGGCATCTAAACCAACAGCAGGTGCGGTGTGCGACGCTTAAGAGAAAAGCTCAGCGCGATTCCAAACCCATCCCCCATCATGTTCGGTGGTAGTGTTGGGAGGGAGGAGCGGACAGATTTCAAAACCATCCCCCCCCCCTGGACCACTTCCACACCCCATTCAGTCAATCAACCAATCTATCAATCAATCGAATCCTGGTTCAACCAAGAATCCATCCATCCATCCATCCATCCATCCATCCATCCATCCATCCATCCATCAATCAATCAATCGATTATGGACAAAACCAACCCTCGCCATGGAGCACTTGCCGCCCTTTTCTAGATGATGGCGCTCGTCGACTTGCTGGCTTCCCGCGCGCTATCATCCAGAAAAAAGGGCGGGAAAACAACCAATCTATCAATCAATGGAATCCCCGATCATCCATCAATCAATCAATCATGGACAAAACAAACCCTCGCCATGGAGCAGTTGCCGCCCTTTTTTCAGATGATGGCGCCCGTCGACCTGCTGGCTTCCCACGGACCATCATCCAGAAAAAAGGGCGGGAAATATCTTTCTGTCCCGCCCTGAGCAGCTAGGAGGCGGGGAGGAAAATTTATCGAAATTCTTCGTCGCGGAACTCTATGGGAAGTATCTCACCACAATTACGTCCAGATTCGGTCAGAAAGGTCCCTAATCGATATAGACACCGTTAGGTAGGTTCAGGACAAGTGCTCAAAATCACTGCATAGATAAGTAATAAGATAGTGGCATTCATAAGAAAGATTTCTGGAAAGATGGCTACGCTATGGAAAGTATCTCACCATAATTACGTCCAGATTCAGTCAGAGATGTCCCTAATCGATAGACACCGTCTGGTAGACTAGGACATACACTAGGAACTCTATGGGATGTATCTCACCACAACTACGTCCAGATTCAGACAGAAAATCCAGATTTAGTCACTAAGGTCCCTAATCGATAGACCCCGTTTGGTAGACTAAGCAGATTTAGTCACTAAGGTCCCTAATCGATAGACCCCGTTTGGTAGACTAAGGACATACACTACGGTAGGAACTCTATGGGATGTAACTCACCACAATTACGTCCAGATTCAGACAGAAAGGTCCCGAGCGTCAGTACGCCCTAAGCGTAAGCGACTCGTCCGTCGCAGTCGATCACAACTGTGATTAATCAAGAGCGACTAGTCGGGGGTACCCCCTCCCCCCCCACCCCCTCTCTTCACCACGAATCGAACGCATGGTCATCATAGCTGTATTAGGGGCAACTTTCAGTCTAGATTCAGCGATAATCACCGTGCATTCCATTCCGGGGAAGACGGTAACTAAGTAGACGGTGACTAATTAGAGAGTAACAAAGTAGAGGCAATTACGAAGAAGATGATTGATTTATGGAGCGGCAGATCGACTAATTAATTAGTTGACTCGCTCTGGGACTGTGACGACGTGTAAGAAGTCTCTGGGAAATCGCTGAATGGCAGAGATTGATCGTCGAATGACTGTTTCAGCGATTGATCTTTAGTATAGCAAATCTACGGGTTGATTGGTCGACTGATGGGACTTTACCCTTTGATTGGTTAAAATGGGCTAATGAACTGACTACAAATTATACAGCACCACCTTCTAGGGTCCGTTAGTACTAATTGAATGATTGGTATGTTATGCCCTCTTTCCAATCAACGTTGGGTCCGTTACTAATTGATTGATTGGTATGTTACGCCCTCTTTACAATCACTGTTCATGGCGGAGGTAAAGAGGGAACCCGGAGGGGGTGTCACCCCGAGATTGGGTAAGGGGCAGCCGCGCGGGGGGGGAGGGGGGGGGGGGGGGGGGGGGGGGGGTTTCGCCCCGGGATTGGTAGGGTGATTGATTGGCTGATGAATTCATGAAGCGTCACCCGCTGATTCATGTTCTCGATTGGTTAACCGATCTGCAAGCTGATTGATTGCCAGGTAATCGATCCAAAAAGAGGTTTTGTTTATATTTTTTGATATTGACGTTTTGATAATTGGGCTTCAATAATTGGCTGATGACACGAATAACTGACTCGGTCGTGCGCTCCACGCTTAACCAATAGCGCACGGTTGACGGCTTTGTAGATGGACTGACTGATGCATAGGGATTGATTGATTGATTGATTGATTGATTGACTGACGCGTTGGGTCTACCTCTTACAACACCGCTCAACTGGAGGCAAGCGAACAAGGATCAGAGAGAGGACAAGGGGAAAGAGGCGGCCGCGAAAATAGGAGAAAGAGGGGGGCAGAGAGTGAAGCTGCAAGAGCTTTGAAGAAAGAGGAGGAAGGATAGAGAAAAAAAAAAGAAAAGAACAAACAAAGAGGAAGAGGAGACAGGAGACGAGAGCAAGAAGAGGGGTAGTAGTAGTAGCAGTAGGAGGAGGAGGAGGAGGAGGAGGAGAAGCCGGGCGGGCAAGACGACGAACTTCCACCGAACAAAACGCACCCTCAGCATGAATGTATACCTTTCTTTCTGGTGCAATTCATACATGATGAAGGTGTGCTGTGTTCGGGGGAAGACGCGAGCGAGAGAACTGGTGCGAGCGAAGACAGAGAGACAGGCAGAGAATAGGACATGGAGGAAGAAAGAAGGGACGAGAAACAGCGAGAAATTTTGTTTGTTCCCAATGTGCATGCTCGCTTTTCGTGAATCGGATCGGCGGATTCGAACACGCAACCTTGTAGAGCTGTTCGGAAATGGCGGCAGCCGCGAGGCCGGCGTAAAACCCGACGATATTGACAAGGAGCAGCGGCGTCAACGGTCGTGGTCTCTGGTATTTCGATATGGCGTCGAAAAGCTCCATACTCGCCTTCGCGGACTCCCCTCCGGGAACTCTCCACCGCACGATTCGCTTCACAAAATCCATGTGTTTGTTAGTTGCCGCGCCGCCAAACCAACCACCTTTCCCCGCCCCCGCCCCCGCCCGCAGCACGGCTGCGTCCGCCCTCACTCGTCCCGCCAAAAACCCAAAACTACCAATATCAATCGTTCGAGGTCCTTTCTTCACCTCACCACACTCGCCGCCCGTCTCCTCCCCGCCAAATGCAAACTCGGCTCCTATCCTCTCTCAATCTCCCGCCACTAACCGCCAGTAATGAAAATGCACAAGGGCCGCCTCTCTCACATTGCCCTTTCGCCTTAGCCAATTACCCGCCGCATGCCTCCCTTCGCTGCAAGGGTGGCAGTCTGGTTGCTACTCACGGCAAACCGCGGTCCCAGATAATTTCACAGAGCCACCACACATTTGCAAAGCTTCGTCACAACTGCCCACCTGGCCTCTACGCCAAGGCGACCTCGGCGGGCTTCTAAACCTCCAGCAACTCTGCCGAATCTACCCACCGCAGCTGCCATTGACTTACCATGACGACATGGCCTAGTTTGTATGTGCCTGGCTTATGAATGTGGCATCACCAACCAGCTTCAAAAGCTGGACGACTGTTGTACCAAGGGGGGAGGGGGAAGGAAGGGCTAAAACCAAAGCAAAAGACCTGCGAAACTAAGAAGGGCGGTGTAGAGTGCATCGGTCCCGCAGAGGGATGCTCCCGGCCACGTCACGCAGGATTTTGCAGGACTTTTTGCAAGGGACCTTTTGCATGACTTTTCGCAAGGGACCTTTTGTCGCTCCGGCCGAGTGCGCTATACCATGACAAGGGTATTTGCCGGGGATTTTAAAACGTGGGACACTGTCCAACTCTTTTCGTTGAATTGAAGGACTTGATGAGACTAACGTTTGTCAAAAGTTTATTCAGACCTGACCTATGACCGGGAAATTGAAACTTTTAGAACCCTACAGTCTTCCCCCAAACAAAACGCACGTGCGTTGTATATGTATTCGTATACAACGCACGTGCGTAATGCTACGGATTTTGGGCACTAACTTCCGAGAAGCCCCCACCCAAAAAAATCCAATATATGCCGATACCTTTGCATAAATTGAGAAACGGTCGACATAGGTGGCCCCCTCCAAAAACAAAACACACAGAGCCCGATATTAGGGCTCTCTCTCCTCTGCTCACCAAATGTAACAAACGTTAAAAAATAAAAAAACGGGTAACTTCGGCGCCGTCACGAAAACAGTTTGTAATTGCACTTCAGGCAATTTCGCAAATAGAACACACCCCCACGCGACCCCACCAGACCCGAAACGTATGTCATATACATTCAACATTACCGACCATTTTGCTTCAAGTGCGATTACAAACTCGAACTCTGACTGCGTCGTAGTTTTATCAATAAAAAAAATTGAATGAATCTTTTGTCAGAAAATGGACGTGCATCACCATATTTTTTTTGTCTATTGTGCATGTGGAAAGCAGTGGAGCAAGTGTCCGACTGTACGTACCAATCGAACAATCGGTTTCACTACTTGTTGAGAGTTACATCCGAATAGTGATGCAGTTTTGGATCCCTCCATCTTGGCCCAGCGAGCAAGAGAGAGAGAGGGCAGAGCACTCAGAATATGAGTGTGGCACTGCAGAGGGGCACGCGCACCACACACACACACACACACGGAGAGAGAGAGAGAGAGAGAAAAAAAAAAAAAAAAAAAAAAAAAAAAAAAAAAAAAAGGTACGCATTTTTTAAAACAAGCGCGACATTTTGTATGTTTTATTCGGATGAACACCGGTGTGTTCGAATAAAACACCCATCCGTACTATTTGAATAGAAAATACATGTGTACTATTTGAATATGCGTACTATTTGGATTTCAGGGGGCGACTTCAAGAAATAGACTTTTCCAAGGAAAGTTTAATAGTACATACGTGCATTTTGTTCGAAGGAAGACTGTCGTCCGGACGTCTGCGGCATCCGAGAGTAATGACATGAATCGGTAATGCTTCTTTTTTTGTCGAGGCTGTAGAGGTGTGTGGACATAGGAATGTTGAGGTCAAACATGTTCTACTTCAAATAATAACAGCCCCGCGATTCAGAGCCTAAGCAGGCTAAACGGAGGGTCGTGCCGGACATGGGTGGTCGCTCAGGCTATCGATAGATAGTCGGCCACAGAAAAGTATGGCAACAGGCCGATGTTGTGGCCTACCCGGTTCAGTGACTGTTTAAGTCGTGGTCACGCGGCCAACCGACGGGGCAGGGTCAGTAAGCGAGGCCTGTTAGGCCTCAAGCAGGCGAGACCTGCAGGGCCACAGACAGACATACCCTTAGCCCTCAAGCAAGCGCGACAGGCAGAGTCTTGGGCCTCAAGCAAGCAAGGCCTGCAAGACCTCAGGCAGACAGGGTCTGCAAGGCCACAGGCCGGCCTGCTACTGGGAACAAGCCCTTCATATAGAAGGGTTGCTCGTATTATTTTCGTAGTAGGAGTTAGCCCAGTAGGTTTGACACTGAAATATTACCCAACAGAGATTAGGATCGAGTCCAGGTTGCGCTAACATTAAGCTAACTTCTTTTGGAGTTGCCCTTATCCTCTCTGAAGTCACACAGTCAATTTCGATCGCACGATCTCAAAGATCGCGCGTCCGAGATTAGCCACGCGCGAATCAGCATCACAAATGGTTAACGGGGACCTCCATTTTCAGCTCTGACTAATGGGACCAAAATTGAAATTAGGGTTTGGGGGTCAAATTTTTGGTTTTTTGTTTTTTTGTTTTTTTGTTTGTTTTTGTTTTGGTTTAAGGTTGCTGTCTGTCAAATTTGGTTTTATTTGGGTTATTAGAATTTGTGCTGTTGGGAGGCCTGAAAATCCTGAAATTTGGATGACGTGTTTCATGCCAAAATTGCCTGAAAATGCACTTTTGGGTTGTTGTTTTATGTGTTTTTATTTTATTTTATTGATTTTTAAAAAAATATATGTTAGTAAGAAGTGCACTCTATACATTGGTGTGGAGTTTGCTTGAAATGGCCTTATGGTTTTCTTATAAATTGACCTGAAAAATGGGGGGTCGGTTAACCTTCTCTCGTCAGCATGGGTCTGCACAAGGATGACACGCATAAGTCGATAAATGACCCAAATTTTACATTTCGATCCCTGGAGGGATCGATCCAAGGTCTGTATTTCAATAGCTCATGGTTGAAAAGTCACGAGACGTGACATGCTGTGAGCTTCAGAAAAAGAAAAAAAGAAAAAAAAAGAAAAATTAAAACTAACTAACTATGAAGCGTCATATGGCGCACTTAGAATTGTCTGGGGCACTTCAGTCCCCAGTGCACTTGACAATCCCTCTAAAAATGGGTGATCGTTTTTCCTATGAGGTAAGTTTTTTTCTTTTTCTTTTTTTTCTTTAGATTTTCTTTAGATTTTTTTTTCTAAATTTTGATCTTAGATTATTTTTCTTTCTTTTAGATCCCCCCCCTCTCATTTTACAAACAGTGACTTTTGTTATGCGCCTGTTCGTTTCAAAGAACGGGCTGCAGACTATTTCATCGATAGGGAAGCAAAAAAGAGTGAATCTACTACCAGAACATAGTACTATATATCGTGTATGGGTGTGTAAGAGAGAGTATGGGAGAATGTCTTATCTGACAGCGGCTGGACTCCCGACGACAGGCAAGGCGACGACCAGCAGGTAAGTCTCCAACGGTGGGGCCTAGCTCTAGCTACTTTCATTCGTAGGGCGAACAACGTTCCAGTAACAGGTAAGTCTCTAACCTTGTGACTGACCCTCTGGCACTTCCATCTTTAGGATGAACAAAATCGAATGAATTTACTGTAGAACAAGGAAATATACACTGTCACTTTATTATTATCATTATTATTATTATTATTATTATTATTATTATTTTATTTTATTTTATTTTATTTCTTCTCCATTTGTTTTCATGTCACTACTTCATCGCCCGTTCGAACGGGCTGTGACTGCAAAAAAAACGAGTGAAGCATCAGATGGCGTTGTCAGTTGTGATGGGGATTTGAAGTCCCCAAGGTTGCAGTAGGCGCCCATGTCAACGACCGACCGTTTTCTCATAGAGGTATATTTTTTTTATTATTTTAGAGTTTATTTTATATTTTCTTTTAGATTTATTTTTCTTCTTCTTTCTTTCTTTTTGAGAACCACCCCCCCGTTCTTACTAAAGTGTGACGGTTAAATTTTTTAAGGCAGGCAACACTTTTGGGTCGTGCGCCTGAATCCGACACCTAATCTGTGTCAGATACAGACGCAGGGCAGGGGGGTAGAGGACTCTATTGAGCTTGACTCTAGTTCAGCTCTACGAAATGACTGAGGAGGGGGAAGGTGTCTGTCCATTTTGAACGACTGGCTGCCCCTCCAAGAGAAACGGGGAGACAAGAAGAAAAATGGGGGATTAAAAGGAAGAGAAAAATAAAAAAAATGAAAAGGATAAAAAAAAAAAACGGTCATGTATGTGGCCGAAGTCGTGGTCAGGTGCATGTGTGTAAGTGTGGGTGTGAGAGTAGTTGCGCCTGTTCGTTTTTTGAACAGGCTGCAACATTTTGGTTGGGTACAACTGTTTCCAGAAGCATGTGGTCAGGGAAAAAGGCTAAATGCTTCCAGGTATCCAGGATCTTGGATCCCATAGGGGAATATCAAGATTTCTGACCCTTGATCGCCGCTCTGATCAACGGTCTAGCTCAACTTCATTTTTTTGGACTCTGGGATAGGCAGTTGCCCACAGTCCTCGGTTGGCTATAAAAGTCGGCACTCTACCCAACAGCCTCACACTTATGGCAGTGTTGGTGGGCCATTCACTTGAGTGAATGCTGGCTGGCAACTATTGTGGGGCGGTGTTGTCGGTGAGGAGTGAGACGAAGTGCTGCTGGTGGAGGAAGTGAAGATCTGCGAATTAAGGGGAGACGCTATTGGAGGAGTGCAGCCAGGGCATCCATAACCAAGGGTTTAGGGCTCTTTGCCCCACCCTTGTGTTGGTGCCGTGGCGGCAAGGCTGCGTCAAGGATGGACGGTGAAGCAAGCGACATGGGTGTGTCAGGGGTTATACTGCCG